CTGCCCACGGGACGCGCGGAAACCCGCGCAGGGCAGCGCGGTTGACCCCTCCACCCTCACCCCTGGCGCCGCCGCTTCTTAGTGCTGGGGGCCAAGACCTGGACCCCCCCAGCTCAGGCCGGTGCAGGACCCCAATCACGGGGGCCTGGTGACCAACCAGGCCGAGCTGCCGCCACTCCCCAGTAATGCCCCAGGACAACCTTGCAAAGAGCACACGGGGGCGTCCAGAGGGCCTCTGGCCACAGGCGAAAGTGGTGGCGGCTACCCTCGCGTTCCGGACCCAGGACGTGGAAGCAAAACATGTTGGGGCCATTTGCGCTGCTTTCTACAGTAGAGTCAGCGGTTCTTGGAAAGCTTTTTAGTAGGAAGCAAACTGAAGACTGTAGGTGGCAGAGCATGAAGGAATCCATTCTGTAAAAGGAAATGCTTTATTTTTCTATTTTTTAAAATTTTTATTTTTGTTTAAAATATTACAGATGTCCCTTTTTCTCCCCAGTGACCCGTTCCACCCCATCCCTTCCCCCTCCCCAGTGAAATATTTTATATAGCTCCAGATAGCTTGATGTTTCTTGAAACCACTTGTGGAACTTTTCAAAGACTCTGAGTAAATCTCATTACGCAACTCATTTATGTTTTAACAAGTGCAGACGGAAGGATACTCTGCTTTGAAGAAACGGATGTTTCCTTGGGTGCCTGCTGGTTGCAGATCCCTGGTTTCCATGCTTCCCTCTTACCAGCAATAACTCATTTCTCTCTACAGTGGAATGATCTAATATAAATTACATCATGTTTCATTGTAGCTCAGAACTCTCCAATGGCTTCCCTTCCCATCTGGAAGCCTGCTGCCCCCTTATCCTGGCACCTGCCATCTCTCTGACCTCTCCTGTCTTCCTGCACTCCCTACCGAGCCACACTGGCCTTTCTGCTCTGCAATGCCAAGCTCATTTCTCCTTTGGGGCCACTGTACTTGCTGGCCTTTTCCTGTGCCTACTCTTGGTGGACTTGTTACGGACCTCAAGGGGTTCGCCAGTTGGGATGGTCTATTCAAGAATGAGAGGTGGCTGTCATCAGGTAGTTTTATTTACTTGGAGCAAGCAAAGGAGACGGGATTCACATCCAAAGTTCTGTCTCCCCAAGGGGAGGCTTAGCCATTGCTTATGTACACTATTTGGCTAAATACACCTTGGAGCTTAGGAGAAAGAAAGTGAAAGTACAAAAGTGCTCACCTTGAGGGAAGAAAGGAGAAAAAACCTGAAAAAAATTAAAATCTCATGAATTTTAATAGTATTATATTACTTGATGGCTTGGTTAGTTTGAAAATAATAATAGCCAATTTAAAACTCACTTATTAGCCTCTGGCTTTAAATGCATTACCCTAGATAACCAGGCCTGGTCTGGTGGAGTGGCGAAGGGGAGTGGCAAAGACGCCGATTTCACTTACTCCTGTGAAAGGAGGAGACAGGCTGCCTCCAAGAGCCCTGTGAAGTGCCTGTGAGTAGGATGGACAGACCGCCCTGGTTGGTGTTCCTGTCCTCTGACAGTGTGGCTATAAATCACTGCTGCAGGTTTTCTAAGACTCATAAGCATCCAGGGTTTTGCTCTGGCATATCTGCTCTTTAGAAAGATAAACCTGCCGTGGTGGAGGCATTGTTTCCTGGCACGATGCCTTCACATCCCAATCCTGATGAGCTGATTTTTTTTGTGAATGGAAGAAAGGTAAGTTTATGAGATGATTAACATGAATTTTTTCACACCAGGGACAAAAGCCAAGCTAATTTTTTTTTTTTTTTTTACTATGGTGCCATTTCTTATCTAATTCTTTTTCAAGTCATAGATAGTGGTATGAACTTGAACATAGGTCATTCATTCAAGGTTTAGTACAAAATTATGAAAGCATGGGGGCCTTTGCTTGCTCTTAACTTTTCTTTTGGACAGTAAGGGACTCTCATTTTTATTTGTTAGATTACAGTGGGAATAAATTCTGACACAGATATGAAAAACAATGTCATTCCTCCTTTTAGTTGGATATTAGCTCTACTCGAGTTCACCAATATTATTTTAATAGAAGGCACATATGACATTAAGGCTAAAAATAGCAAAGTGATTTTGTTTTGCATTAATAAGGCCACTCAAACTGATCAATTAGCACAGAGACTGAGCGCCTCTTCCCGAGCAATGGAACGGGTGGGTTGCCTTCTCCACTCGGAAAGAGCTGTGGCAGCTCCAATGCTCAGCTGTTCCCACGCCTGTATTTGAGTGAACAAAATGAATAAATAAAAAGCTTGAGGTGTTTTGGGACAATTAGGGGGGGGAAACTAATAAAATATTAAATAGAAAATTGTTTTGAAACGTCATTTGGAGTTAAGGATTTTGCTCCCCAAGCCTCCATTGTACTGGGCTACTTGCTGTTCTTTCCTAAAGGAGCGCACACAACTTTCATCAAGGCAAAAAGTCTTGGGAATTTTGCCTGTCAAATAGCAAGGAAATATCATTTTTAGGACACCTATGAACTAAGCAACAAAAAGTGAAAGAGAAAGAAGGGAATGAAGAAAAAGTCTGGGTTTAGCAACGCTGTTTACCAGTAGGTCAGGTCCTTGAATGACCTGAAGCCAACTGGAATATCAGAAATTGCTGAGGGCCTGGCCGGACATGGCTCAGCCGTTGAGCGTTGACTTAGGATCCAGGCGATGGGGATTCGATTCCCGGTCAGGGCACATGCCCGGGTTGCGGGCTCGATCAATGACTCTCTCATCATTGATGTTTCACTCGACCAATGACTCTCTCATCATTGATATTTCTATCTCTCTCTCTCCCTCTCCTTTCCTCTCTCTGAAATCAATAAAGATATATTTTTAAAAAATAATTGCTGAGTGACAATTCACAGTAATTTAAAAGCTAAGAACTTTTCTAAGTGCAAGGAAAACAGTCTTTGTTGCTTTGCCTTTGCCATAAATAAAACCATTTATCCTTTACTGTCACATTGGAGTAATTTATTCCCTTTCCAGATCTCCCAATCTTTTGAATTCACAGCTGATATTTTGGTGTTTTCCCCTTTCTCTGTGTTACAAATTTCTAAGACAAGTTGTAGATGGCAAATAAAAGGGGAGTGGGGAGAGGAAGTATATACAATTCTTTGCAGAGTTGGGTTTGCTGTTATTTTTGTGGTTGGTTTTCTTTCCTTTAGACCCAGGAGCACAGAGTTGAGCAAAGCACATTCCTCCATCAATGGCACATTCTCATCACAGTCTGGACAAGGCTTTTCTTTTACCTTATATTATTATTTTTTCTTTTTACTTTCTATCTTCTCTTTATTTCCTTCTCTCATATCCAGTCTTGTGCATTTTATTTTATTTTATTTTATTTTATTTTATTTTATTTTAAATATCTTTATTAATTTCAGAGAGAGGAAGGGGGAGGGAGAGAGCGAGAAACATGAGAGAGTCATTGATCGGCTGCCTCCTGCACACCCCTGACTGGGGATCGAGCCCGCAACCTGGGCATGCGCCCTGACCAGGAATCGAACCGCGATCTCCTGGATCCTAGGTAGATGCTCAACCGCTGAGCCACGCCTGGCCGGGCATTGTGCATTTTAAACACACATCCTTGTCATATACTTTCCATGTAGTCATTTAGAAATGTAGATGTATCCTTGAAATATATGCAGTTGACCCTTGAACAACACAGATTTGAACTGTGCTGATCCACTTATATGTGGGCTTTTTTCAATAAATGTATTTTCCTTATAATTTTCTTAATCACATTTTCTCTAGCTTACTTTATTGGAAGGATACAATATAAATATATACAACATACAACTATGTGTTAATCGACCGTTTACATTATTGGTAAGGCTTCCAGTCAACAGTAGTCTATTAATAATTAAGTTTTGGGGGAGTCAGAAGTTATACATAAATTTTTTAACTGTGCAGGGGGATCAGCACCCATAACTCCCTCATTGTTCAAGGTTCAACTGTACAGTGTTTGTCTTTGCATGGGTGTGTTTATATTCTTAACTTACACAAGTGAAACTGTGATTTATATCTCTTTTGTGACTTACTACTGTTTTTGAAACCTGTCCATGTTGCTCTTTGATACCTGGTTCATTACTTCTGCATGTATAATTCTCCCCACTGTGCACATCCTTCATTCTGCTTATCCAGTCCCCTAGTGATGGATGCTTCCAATTTTCTACTATTCCAAGAAACGCTGCAGTGAACACCCTACCATGTGTCACCTTACCAACACTGGCAAGAGAATCTCTAAGTGAGATTTTGGCATGCCGATTTCATTGGTCCTGCCAGGTGCCTTTCCAGAATTCTGCACAAGCTACATTTCCCAGAACTTCTTGCATAATAAATGCTGCTTCCTTGACACATACCATTTGCAGATCTATGATGTACCAATACTTGATATAATCCGACTTCTTAAGGTTTCCTAACCCGATGGGTGCCGTGTTGTCTCACTGTTGTTTTCCCTTGCATATCTCTGAATACTGATAAGATTGCTCCTCTTTTCATATGCTTACTAAAAATGAATTCTTTCCTAAGTGTCTATAAAGTACTAGAGGAAACAGAAGGCACCAGTACAATTTTGTGAGTGCAACTTATGGTATGACCAGGATTTCTTATATGATTACTGAAATATTTATTTTTTTAAATTTATTTTTAAATATATCTTTATTGATTTCAGAGAGAGGAAGGGAGAGGGAGAGAGAGAAACATCAATGATGAGAGAGTCATTGATCGGCTGCCTCCTACACGCCCCCTCCTGGGGATCGAGCCCACAACCTGGGCATGTGCCCTGATCGGGAATCGAACAGAGATCTCCTGGATCCTAGGTCAATGCTCAACCGCTGAGCCACACTGGGCCGGGCTGAAATATTTATTTTAAATGGCTGGGAGTACTATATATTTGACATGTCAGAACTGCAGTTAGCAGCCTTTAATTAATTTTCCAAAGGCTAATCTTGTTTTCTCCTTCGTCCTGAACCTTGACTCTTCAGCACCGTAATGGACACTGAGCTTATCTCTGGCTATTCAGATCCTCTGAGGACTCAGAAGGAGGCTAGGAAATAGGAGGCTTTTATTAAAAATAATATGGTTTCTTGCTTTTTTCAGGGGTGATAACCCATGGACACAGACAATAGTGTGGTGAAGGCATTGGCCCCCACCCTCCCCCAATGAGGGGGACAAGGGGGACACCTATAATACTTTCAACAATAAAGATAAATTTAAAAAAATAGAAACACTTTCATTGGAACAATGTTCTCTTTTTGGTTATTGCTCAGTGCTACCCTTCCAGGTAACTTTCTCTTCAGTTCTCTCTAATCTGGCCTGACTATACCCAGCAAGGGAATTGCTTGTGCCTGAGCAGGCTTGTGCCTGAGCAGGTAGCTTTCATCTCATGTGCCAGCTTTTCTGTTGGCAGTAACAGCCTGGAATGGCGCGGGAGAGGCGGAGCAGAGATTCATGCTCCCTTCTGCTCTTCCTTCACCTACTGGCACCTCCGGATGGGGGTGACAGAGGGGCTCCCTTAAACACACTCCCTTATGATCTTGTGACTCCCTTAGAAAATCTCCAGCTAACCTGTTGTATGACTTTCTATAGCCACAGGTTATCTTGAATCAAGTTTGGAACCTGTGTATCCATTTCCCCAGATAGCCCTAAGAAGAAACAATTCAGAATTTATAATTGTCATATATATGAGAAAATTCATAAACATTGAAATAATGCTCCATAATTTTTTCAAAATTCTGTTTCCAAGTATTAGACTTTGTTGCTTTTTTTCCTGTGAAGTCCTCACCTGTCGAAAACAGGCCCTCTAAACAATGGGTAGAATTGCCATAGCTTTTTGGTGCTTTCCTCCTAAACCCTTCTCGTTTCACAATGTAGGTCGTAGAGAAGAATGCTGATCCTGAAGTAAACCTGCTGTTCTACCTGAGGAAAGTCCGTATCCTTATGTTTTACTCTAATTAATCTGGATTGAGTGGTAAAAGGTGAACATGCTAAGACTTCTGAGGAAAGTCACCTTGTATTTGTTCAGGGTAAATAGCCTGGTGTTCAATTTGTAGAGCCTAGTTGGAGTTCGGACAGTGCATCTAGAAGTGATAGATTTGTACTTTACTTATATTTCTCACCTGAGCACAACCAAAAGAACCCTCCAGTGAACCACGAAGGTCCACTGGAAATAACTTGGGAAAATAACTTCATGACTTTTGAGGCCCATGGCCACCCTGATGGCAGTTTCATGTTCAGGAGTGTGCATGTAAAAATGTCTGGTCAATTGCTCAGGGGTGCATATCACTGACAATGGTTTCCCACAAGATTATTTCATTGACTTGTCACGTATATCTTTTCCTAAACCTTATTGAAGAAAACAAGGTTTTATAAACATTTCAAAATTCCTAAGTATAGCTAATGCACTCCCAGATCTCCACCTCAAATCTAGACCTTCGTTCACCTCTCACTCCTCCAGTAGACATTTGACAAATATTCAAAAATAATTTCTTGGCTTTGGGTGCAACTACAAAGGGGCGGCATGAGCGAGTGATTGTGGCGGTGGTTACACAGCTCTATCTATGAGATAAAACTGCACATACGATGAGTGCATGTATATGTGGTGAAATCTGAATAAGCTCTGTCTGGTTATCAGTGTACCAGTGATGCCAATTTCCTAGTTTTGATTTTGTGCTATAGTTATGTGGGACAGGCACATAGGACTGTCTGTATTATGCAACTTCCTGAGAGACAGTAATTATTTTAAAATAAGTTAAAAGTGTATATTTATTGATATTATCTACTAAGAACCAGGCACTGTATGAGGCCCTGGGGATTCAGTGATGTACAAGACAATATTACCTCCTCTTTCTCCAGGATCTTTCTTCCCTACATCTGTCTCTTTGCCCCCCAACATAGACACCCCAATATACTACTTTATTTCTCCCTGTTCTTCCCTTGCCAGATTTATCTAATAAATTATGTGTACCTGATGCCTCCTTTGCTATTGAACCCCTTGCAATATGGTTTCCTACCCCATAGTTTTACTGCTCCAGCCAATACACCTGCCCCTATTCCACTGACTACTCCAGGAACTGGACTTATAGCTGGAAAACAAACAGGTCAAATCCTCCCCACTACCTCTGCCATCTCCCATTTACCCAACTTCAAAAGCTCACTGTTGGTCAGCAAACCCTACCACTTCCCTGCATAGCACCTCTAAATCCGCTACATACTTCACCATGCTTTCTCTAGACTTCCTAAAGGGAAGAAATTCATCTATATTAGGAGCAAGGGGAAAACTCATGGACTCCCAAGTAAGCACAGCCAGAAGCAGCTCTAGGCAGAATGACCCCAGCCTCCCATTTCCCCATCTTCCTATTGACCTCCTCTGTTCATTCTTTCTGGTGCCTAATGCCATAAAGAAGTCATTCTCCATAAATAAGACCCACCTGAGACTTCCTGACCCCAGCCTCCGATTACAGAGTCACCAGTTCAGAGGCCTTATTTTTAACTTGTTCCTCAAGTGAGTGATTCACATGAATATTTGCAGAGAACCACAGGGATTTTCTGCCAGAGTCAGCATCCCACGTGCACACACCAGCATGAGCCTACTTCACTTTTCACAGGACTCCCATAGCCCCTTCCAAGGCCCTGGACCTAATTTATATGCCTAATTTTATATTTTTTTTTTCCTGAAGGCAGATGTCCAGTATTATAAAACCTTCAGGCTCCCACAAAACCCAAATTTGCTGCTACTTGGGGCCTACCTTAGGTATTATTCCCAGAATGGAACACAGTCACACAAGAAACCAAATTTTGAGGGGGACATCCCCATCTGTCTTTCACCATTTCAGTCCTCCCCAAGGCCACAGCCTCCTGTGGAGTCACCCCGCCCATCCCAGCGGCCCAGCCCAAATCTGCTGGGGTGATATCCTGGGTCACTCCATCTTCTCCCTCCACACCTCCCGGCCTGGTTCAAAGCAATCTAATCTGTGGAACCAGGCAGTGCACCACTAAGACGACACCCACAGCTACTTGGGGCAAGGAGGGTGTGTCATTTTAAAGCTGGTTGCTCTCCATGAGATCCTGGGTCTAGGACAGATGTCTCAGAGGCTCCCTGAACATGTCTTGCTTACCCGCACCCTTCACATTCCCACCGCTGAAGCCCTAACACTTCTTACTATTCTTGCCGCTAACAAATTTTACCAAGCACCAGGTGTCAGAGGTAAGCTAGAAGACACAGCCTCTGCCCTCCGTCTAGCGCAGGGGACGTCCAGTGAAGGGGCAACGGCAAGTGTCATAGGGCACTCATGTCCTGCCTGGTGGCGAGGGGAGGAAGAGACAGGGTTGAGTAGGAATTTGCTGGGCAAATGGAAGGCTTGGGGATGAGAGGACAGTCCAGTCAGGGGTTGGGGGTGGAGGCAGAGGCAAGAAAATATAGTGCTTTTGAGGAACTGAAAGAGATTTATTCTGATGCATGTAAAGAGTTGTCAGTGGAAGGTTGTGGCAAGAGATGAAGGAATGAGATCCTTGAGGTGAAGGACCACCTTTGAGGCCTTTATCACATTTCCTGCCTAGCAGGATGGGGAGCCATCACTCACTGATGAGGGACCAGATCCCATGGGAAATTCCAGGGTCAGCTGCACACATTGGCCACCAGCCTTTAGTCTCAGGGTAACCTCTTCTGGATATACTGTAAGGTTTTGTACCTTGGGGAAACTGAGATAGCTTTTCTCCTTAAGAACCAAAAAATAAATTCTGACATACTACTGTTTGTATTTTACCTAAGGAGCGTTGCCAGCTTTAACACATGAAAATATAGTACACCCAGTTATATTTAAATTTGGATGCATGGAATATACTTATTCTAAAATATTACTTATTGTTTATCTGAAATTCAGATGTAACTGGGCATCCTATACAGGGGTAGACAAAAGTAGGTTTACAGTTGTTCATATGGAAAATAATACAATAATTAATAAATAATAATACAAGAATAAACTCTGTGCTTCATGTACTTATGACTGTAAACCTACTTTTGCCCACCTATCTGGCAACCTACTTAATGATGGGCTTTAGGGTGAGCAGACAAAATATGGAAGTAACTGAGGCAGGCACTTCTGGTGGGGGTGGAAGAAGGAAGCATCAAACTAGCTGTTTGGTGACCAGAGGACAAAACAGCTGGTTGCATCAGCTTTTCACTTTTCACTCAAGGCAATGTGCGTCACAGAAGTGTTTTACTCCGGGCAGTGCGGGGGCGGGGGGACTGGCCCAGCATTACATCGCTTTGTGCAGCAGTTTCTAAGATGAAGTCAGTCTTAAGTTCCCCCGAAGCCGATTATGACCTCCACCAATGAAATCCTTTCTAAACCTCAACCAGAAAAGGTCCCAAGCAAATTCCAGCAGATTCTTACAGAGTGTATAACGCAGGGCATTTACATCAATTATTTGTTCTGCCTCTGTGAAACTATGCAAATGTCTTACTGGGAAAAAATACCCAGTGGTTGTTGACATTAATGGTTCAGGAAGCATGGTTATTATATTAATATTCTCTAATCCCATAAGAAGGTAAAAGCATTGCATTGCTGAACCAGAGAGAGGTAAGTTTCCCGGGAGGCGGGGATGGGAGGGTGGTTCTAAGTTTTGCACACACACCACCATCTCCACAGCAATAATGTAACTACCAACAGTCCAGAGTCCACTGTCCACAACTCTGAATTCAAGAGGCTTTTTCCTGCCTCATTTGGATGCAAAGCCTGATCTAACTGGCATGAGGCTCTCTGTAGTTTTCACGTATCCCACTTAGAGGGACTATAGCAATGCAGACATGGTAACATGTTGAGTTACAAGGTGCTGCCCTAGTCCGTTTGGGAATGCCATCTTATATGCAAAATTTTCCAATCAAAAATGCATCTGGGCCCAGCCGGCGTGGCTCAGCAGTTGAGCATCAACCTATGATCCATGGGATGGCGGTTCTATTCCCGGTCAGGGCACATGCCTGGGTTGAGGGCTTGATCCCCAGGAGGGGGTGTGCAGGAGGCAGCCAATCAATGACCCTCTCATCATTGATGTTTCTGTCTCTCTCCCTCTCCCATCCTCTCTCTCTGAAATCAATTTTTTAAAAAAATGCATCTGGCCCTAAGGGTTTCCGAAAAGGCTGTGTGGGTTTGTAAGGATTTCTTCTCACCTTTAACAACAAGCTTCTTTACCTGCAAAAACTGGAACTCTGAGCAAGAAACCTTGATACCTGCTGCTCAAAAGAATGTGTTACTTGTCAGCATCTGAGAAAGAAAAGTGTAAAAAGCGAAGGAGGCTGGGCCCCTCTTTTCCTTGACTCCCTTCTTTCCAGTCCACCTTACAGGCACGAAGTATGGCTGTGGCGGAAGAGGCTGTGGCTCCTGCACCGTCATGGTGTCTAGATATGACCTCAAGACCAAGAAGATCCGGTATCCTTTGTGTTGGCCAAGGCCATGCTTGGACATATCTAGGAAGGATGTGGAGCCTTCCACTTTTCTATCTATATGCACTGCTCTCCTCTCTGTAAATGTCTACGGCACTCACACAGCCTCCAGGCCTGCTCTCCCTGCAGCTTCCTAAGTTCCACATCTTTCCCATGGACTTTCTTCTCATCAGAATATATTTAATTGGGCTAGCATGCAACCAGAGTATTTGTATTTTTAAAAGCTTTGCACGGTTGGGAATCACTGGACTTACCTAACCTATGATTGTTTACGTAAGTCAATATGTCATCTTATGATCAGTAAAAAGTTTCCTTTCCCTGGAATGAGGGGAAAAAAATAGAGAATGAGGGTCTCTTGGAGACCCACACAAAACTCCTAATTATTCCATTTTTCCATTTCTTTCTAATATCCTGTGCCAGCCATGTATAAGTTCTTTACTGAACACTTCCAGAAACTTATGGTTTTATATCTAGTGCTCTCTGTATTCTCAAGGAAATACAGTCTCATGATTCTCTTGGACCAAAATTACTCCCTGCATTCTGTTCCCCACTCCCTATGATTCCAATGTGTTCTCTTAACATAATTCTATGACAGTCATTATCCAGTTATAGCCTGCCTGGTGCCCGTCTGCTCTCTGTATGGGGCCGCTGTCACCACAGTAGAAGGTATAGGAAGCCTGAAAACCAGGGTCCACCCCGTGCAGGTAAGGGCGCGCTCTGGCCGGGCCCAGGCGTTGGCACAGGCATCCCGCATAGTCTAATGCACTCCAAGTAGGTCACCAACTGTGAAACCCTTTGTGCTTTTCAATTCTTATTTTGTGAGATTTCCTACTTCAGAGCGAGGGATCTTTTCAAAGACTGATGTATAAACCAAGATTTCTTCGTTAGTTTTAATATATCTTAACTTCTCAGCCCCATCTTTGCCCTAAATTAAAATAAGGACAGATCAATCTTATGAGAAAATAAAATAAATAGGAAACTAGAAGTTTATAGAAAATACTGGCTGTCTACCGCATTCAAAATACTGAACTCTGAACAAGAGGTTAATTATGTGTACAAATACTCCCCAGTGCTCCCCAAATGTCTCATGAAACCGAGTACCATGCTGCAATAGAACACAGTTAAAATGATAAAGTGTTTACTAAAGTTTACAGGACTTTTTGAAGAAATGGCAATGTTATGTTTATGTACTAGAATAGGAAATGCTGCCAAAGTTAAGTTTTAAAAGCAGTGTATAGAAAGCAAATGATAAATAGCCTTTTTTTTTCTTTTTGCTGTTCTGAGTAGGTGTTTTCTGCTACCTTGTCTTCCAAATCACTGATGCGATCCTCTGCTTCATCTAATCTACTCTTGATTCCCTCTAATGTAGTCTTCATTTTAGTTATTGTATTTTTAATTTTTAACTGGTTCTTTTTTATCTTTTCTTATCTTCATTCTTATGTTTCTTATCTCTTTATTGAAGTTCTCACTAATCAGCTACTCTTCTCCTAAGTTCATGGAACATCCTTATAAACAGTGTTTTAAACTCTGCATCCGGTAGACTACTTTTCTCCATTTTGTTGAGTTCTTTTTCTGGAGTTTTGTCCTATTCTTTCATTTGGAACATTTTTGTTTCCCCAGACACTTTGGCTGCCTCTCTGTTTGTTTCTGTGTTTTATTTAGGTGGATCTGTGACATCTCCTGGTCTTGGCAGAGTTGCCTTATACAGTAGGTGTCCTGTGGGGCCAGTGGTGCAGTCTCCATCACCTGAGCCAGATGCTCCAGGGGTGTACTTTGTGTGGGTTGTATGTACCTTCCTGTTGCAGCTGAGCTTTCATTGCTGTTGTAATGTCAGTGGGACAGATTGACCCCAGACTAACTGGCTGTGAGGAATGACCATGACTACAACAGACAAGCTGTTTTTCAGTGGCTGATCCCATGGAGTGGATTTGCTTTAGCAGGTCTCAGGTGCCTGCTATGTCCACCCTTTTGGTCTGTTGTTTGTGTAGCTAATTGGTTATTGTTCTGGTGTGGTCTGAAACCAGGTATGTTGGTTCTGGGACCTTTTGGGAGGATCTGTGGTGCACACCAAGATCAGTCACTTGCTGTGCCTGGCCCAAGGCCACCAGGTAGAAGCTACAAAGTGATCATCAGATGGCTGCCACCTGTGCTGGGCTTGGAGGTGCCTGGGAGAGGCTAAGCTGAAAACCGAGGCCGGCTGCCACTAGTGCCAGAGGTATGGGGTATGCCGGGGCCAGACGCTGCTTGTCTGGCATTTGTGGATCTCTGAGATAGTATAGGAAAGTCCACAGGGTAGGCCAAGGCCTGTCACTTGAAAAAGGTTTCAGGCCTGTGCACAAGTTTAGTGGGGCATGTTCTTAGTTAATCACTAGGGTGGCGTGAGCAGTGTGAGCCAATTTAATTGGAGACTCAGATTTGGCAACACCTGGGCCAGCAGGCTGAGTGGGAGTAAGGCTCAACATAGGAACAGTGGTGCCCACCAGCCAACTATGTGGGAGGAGAGGTCAACATAGGAACAGTTGTGTGCACTCCAGTACTTCTGTCCGGGAGAGAGCTGCCCTTCCATCCGCACCTGACGCCAGACAATTCAGTTACTCCTCATAAGTCCCTGGCACTTTTCAAGCTGCTCTCTCTTTGATGGAAGTTAGGGCAGGTGTTTGTGAGTAATTAAGTCGTGCTCATGCACTTTAAGAGGGTGCCTGGGTATCCAGCACTCCTCTGTCTCACTCAGACAGAAGCCCTGTTGTAGGGACTCCTCTTCCTGGCAACTGGTGCTCTGGGTATGAGGCTTGGACCCCTTGCTTCTTGGGGGGCCCTCCACAGCTGAGGTATCCCACCTTGTTCCTAACCATCACATGTGGGTATGGGACCAGCCCGTTTTGCGTCTTTGCCCCTCCTACTGGTCGCTATGTGGCTTTTTAAAATCCTTATAGAAATTCTGTTCAGCTAGTCTTCAGGTGGTTCTCAGCGACGGTTGTTTTATAATTTAGTTATAATTTTGATATGGTCATGGGAGAAGTCAAGCACAGCATTTACCTACTCCACCATCTTGACCAGAAGTCTCTCTCAAATCTTGATAGTACATATGCTAGATTTGTTCAGTAGTGCGTGGTATAGGCTCATACTGACTTGTGAGAGCTGATTGTTAAATTTTTAGGAGTTTTGTGAGCCATTCTTTAAACAGGGCCATTATTAACAATTAAATCATACAAACTTAAATAACTATGCCACTGTACATCTCTCTTCCCAGGTCCACATTCAGTGATATCACATTGGAAACCTGACAGCCCTATTGGAATTATTTGCACAACTAAAATTGTTAGAAACTACAAATCAGGGCTTTTCCCCCAGAGACCCAGCTGTTAAAACTTTTACCACCACATTTACAGCCAGTTTATGCGCCACATCTGAAACAACTTGCCGTCCAGCAATAAATCCAACACAGCCACGTTTCCCTCTGGCATTAGAACAATGTCTGTCTTTTCTTTTTTAATATACTACATTATTTTTAATGCTTACATATGCCATTGTTGCATTAAATAATTAATTCCTTTTTATTTTTTATTTTCCAATTACAGTTGACATTCAATATTATATTAGTCTCAGGTGTACAGCATAGTGGTTAGACATTTACTTAACTTCCAAAGTGACCCCCCCCCCAATAAGTCTAGTACCTACCTGACACCATATATAGTTATTAAAATATTATTGAATACCTATCCTTTCAGTTGAACAGATGAAGCATTTGCCTTTCGTCTCAGGGGGCATGCTGTTCAGAAAATGTTGAGCCAGGCAGCTGAGCACGCTGCGAGAGACGCATAGGGCAGATACACACAGAGAACCCAGAGTCATATCCCATCTCTATCTTCATGGCAGAGCTTCTTTTATAGAGTGGACAAAGTAAATTGTTATTTCTCACTCTCTTTCTCTCCTGCCTGGGGTCCAGAATAAGGAAACAAAAGGATGAAAGCGTAAATAATGTACCATTTCCTCCCAGGAAAGACTTGCCAAGTGCCACGGCACACAGTGTGGCTTCTGCAGCCCAGGGATGGCAATGTCCATCTACACGTTGCTGAGGAACCACCCAGAGCCAACCCCCGAGCAAATAATGGAAGCTCTTGGAGGTGAGTCTTCTTGGCCTTCTGCAAGCAAGACCTAAGGTAAAAATTGCCCAAGTAACTAGAGAAGGAAGTCCCAGCCTTGGGGAGAAGTTGTGGCACAGCTTTGGGGTTCCTCTTTAGCACCTCTCTTTACTCAAGCCCTTTCCAGGAAGTGCTGCCTTCATTTTGTCAGTAAAGTTGCCAAGAACTGGGGCCATAGTAGTTTCATCACAAAACTTTCTCCCTTAATAGAGCCCATTGTCACTCTGCAAAGGCGTTCAAATGGGCTGTCTATAACACTTTTAAAAGAATCTTTTCTAAAAGTGAAAATTTGGGTAGTATGAAAGAATGAGATTTTGTTGTTTATTTTTAAATTAATCTGTTAGAATCATTCATTAACTCTACTTACTTAAATTAATTTTACAAAGAAAATAGATTTTCAGATACTCTATATTATGTTCTGGTTGGGTTCATTATAAGATCAAAGAGGTCATAGATAGCAATTAGTTATCACAGATAAGCTTGGTGAGCAATTCAATTTCCTATTACAAATAGCTATCAAGTTTAAATGAACAAACACAATTTTCTACTGAGAGAGAGAGGGAGAGAGAGAGAATGTCTTGTTAACAAATGTAGTCTTCTGTAACAAACATACCTAGTTTCAAGGTAACTGGTCACTAGTTCTTCAGAGAAAGCTGTAAAGGCAAACCTCGGAATGTTATAAGAAAGCTCTTTGTCCCCTTAAACAAGGAGACCTAGACAGAAATTCAGTTTTATGATGAAAAGATGCAGACTAAAACAAAGTAAAAATTCAACATAAATTTTATGGTAACTGGTATATAAATATTCTCTAATAGTTTCCCTTATCTCTCTATAACTTCTTTACTCAAAATTTTTCAGTTTCGCATTAAGTACTACTAAAACTTCAGCGTATGGTTTCAATTATGATTTTAACCAAACCTGAATAAAATATGAACAATAGGTAATTCTTGTTCAATGAAATAATCCATACTAATGAGGTATATAGAGATCTTGTGATTTGCCTTGCTTTTTGTTTGTTTCTTTGAATATATATAGTCTTATAGAGATGGATTATTTCCTCCAAGATTCTATGCCTGTAATTCACATAACAACCACCGTGAGACAACGTTGTAAAATCTGGCTAAATTAATGAAGCAGATAACCTTATTCAAGGTGTGGCTAACTCAGAGGCTCTATTTGGTTCATAATCCACTTACTTGAGCTCTTTCTAGAATTATTAATGCTAGCCTCACTGGTCATCTTAATGTTCATATTTTAAGAAAAACAATAATATAAAATAAAATTCAAAGAAGCGTGATTAGGTATGGCACTTACCTTCCAAAATGGTCAACTGATATAAATCAGCACTTTATTTAATCTTGTCTTTCCCTTCAAGACTAAAGAAATATAATTTTTAAATTTTTATCTTTTTTCCCATTAAAATGAGAATATGTTCTGCAATGGATGCTCTTAGGGTTCCTTGGTGGGCTTATAGGAGCATTTCTAGACTTAGCATTGATTATATGGCCAAGAACAAAAACAAAACAACTCTGATGTTAGCTTTCTCTAGTCTTTAATGTTTGCTTATAGTTTATCCGAGAGAAAGTGTCCATTGCCACTTAAACACTCTATTTCATGCTATGTAGTTCTATGTTCGAGACATTTCATCTCCTATTTCTACTCCAAAGAGAGATTCTTAAGTCACACATCTTCTATATTCCTTCTTATTGGCAAAAGGAAAGATAGATTATGAAATCTGAATCTATTCTTGTTCATGCAATTTCTCCCTAAACTATTCTCATTCTAAAAAAACAAGTACACCCATTAAGAAAGTTTCCAGCCCTGCCGAGCGTGGCTCAGCAGTTGAGCGTCGACCTAGGATCCAGGCGATTGGGGTTCGATTCCCTGTCAGGGCACAGACCCGGGTTGCAGGATAGACAACTGATCAATGACTCTCTCATCATTGATGTTTCTATCTCTCTCTCTCCCTCTCCTTTCCTCTCTCTGAAATCAATAAAAAAATATATATTTTTAAAAAAGTTTCCATATGACTCCCTAGCATCAAATTTCCACACATCACTTTACTTGTAGGTGTTTTAACAGGCACAAGCCATACATATACATTGCTTCTAAATTTTAAAATTGTATTTGAACATTATTTTAATAACACATTCCTATTATTAAGAATAAAAAAAAATTAAAAGGCAAGGAAAAACCTCATTCATATTTCTGCAACCAGGAGACAACCACAATGAGATACTTCTATTCTCTTTCAGTCTTTTCTATGCATAGTTTTTGTTTGCTTATTTTAAATACTTCTATTAGATATACAATTTTACATTATATATACAATTTTAACAGTATAACATAAGAATTTTTCCATGCTAGCAAAACATTTTCATAAATATCATTTATACTGGCTGCAAAATTTGAATATACTCTAAAAAGACAGTGGTTTCCTCGCCTTTTATACCATGCTTTGGAAATGTTGACAGATTAAAGTAATATCTACTTATTGAACACCTGCGCTGTACTGGGAGGGTTCAAGAACACCTAAGACAATCCTTGCCTTCTCCAGGAGCTTAAGAGCCAATGAGGGAGATAAGACATGTGCTCCAGGACAGTCAATGACAGGCCTATAGAAGACTCCAGACAGTGAGTGGTTCAGTCCTGGCTGGGTGTTAGAGCATGGAGAAAGGCGGCTGAGGCCCTAGTAAATGGACACATTTTCCCTAAGAAGATAGTTGAGGGACAAGAGACTGCATGAGAAAAGCTTAGCAAAGGACCACATCTGAGATGTTATGGGGGGGTGGCAAGTTACATGAATTAGGACAGGGTGGGAAATAGGAAGAAAGAGTTCATTGGGAAAAACTGTAGAGATCTCTGTGACATTTCAGGGAACAAATGTAATCACAAGAGCTATTTTTGAAGAACATCTCTGTTTCAAAGAGCCATTTTGCTGGTTTGGGGAACAAAACCAGAATTGAATTACCAATATAGCTTTCCACTGAAACCATGAAGTACAAATATGCAATGTATTTCTATATCACTTGTTAAAAATTGATCTCTTCTTAATCAGGTAATTTGTGTCGCTGTACTGGATACCGGCCAATTGTAGAAAGTGGAAACACTTTCTCTGTGGTAAGTGAAAGTAAAAAATATGTATACAAATTTTTTCAACTGACTTAATACATTAACAAACCTTTGTATTCAATTATCTCTAAAATAAACATATTGACCTCTCTAACCTTAGTATTTAAAGAATCAACCAATGAATTTGTTTTAAACTGCATTCCTTCCTAAGGAATCAACTGTTTGTCAAATGAAAGGACCAGGAAAATGTTGCATGGATCAAGAAGAAATGCCTTCTGTGACTAGACAGGAAAAGGTAAGTATCTTTTGTCCCACTGCAGTTGGGATCAACTGAAAAATACCCACCTATTTCCAAATTTCTTCAATTTTTTTTTTTTTTTTTCAGTAAATTCAGTGCATAAACAACCTTAAAAAGTCCCCTAAATGAGCAAGCCCATGACTTTCATGAGGCGGTCACCACAAAAAGACTTTTCCTTCAGAAGCATTCCAATTTTCTGTGCCTTATCTGGGCTTACCAACCCCCTCACCCCCAATTAAGAGATGTAAGCAGTGGTACATCTTTATGCTCATGGCAAATAAATATCTGCAAATAATACCTGAGACCCAGCACAGAAGCTTAAAACCCAATTCCTGACACCAAAAGAGCCAGCCCAGAGTTCAGTAAATCTGCCAGGGGAACCATCATGGTTCTTGGAAGGTGGGGAGAATCCCCCTCAGGGACACCCTGTGGATCTGCCACCTACCTTTTGTGTGTGAGGTGTCAGAGGGTTGGGCCCTAACTCTGAAGTTTCATAGTTAGAGATTCCTGTACATCTCTCAGTAACTCTGAAGTTCCATTTCTATTTTGTTTTGTTTTGTTTTGTCGAGATATGTACCAAATTATACAATAGAGACGAATTCCAGCCCTTGGATCCATCGCAGGAACCCATATTCCCTCCCGAACTGATAGTAAGACACTTTACTTTTGTTATTTCATAACATAATGTGTTACAAGCCTTTTTGTATTATGCTGTAGAATTACCGAGTTTTAGACATTAAAAAATTGAAATTGTGTCCAATACAGTAACCCGTTTTTAGGAACTTGTTCAGCTCCACTATAAATAATTTGAAGCAGACAGCTTAGAAGAGTGGGGTTGCCTGGACCTCAGAGATGCTTTGATTCACCCCCTCAGTTGAAGATTCTAGGTTCAGAGAGTGTAGGTGACTCACCCAGTGTCATATAGCTACACTGTGAGATACGTTTAAGGCATTTTGTAAAACTGGTACAGTAAAAAATCAAATGATCCTTATTATAATGGCTTTATGTTATTCTTATAATTAACCTTTGTGATTTCAGCTCAGTTTGGACAAAGAGAGAAAGAATAATATAAATAGTGTGATAAGCTTATTCTATTTCATGGCTGCGCCCTGGAGAGAGCATGAGAGCGGGGATATGATTCTACAGGCTCCTAGAGGGCCTCAGTCCCTGCGCACCCCTCAGAGTATGAGAACTTGTACACACCTACTACTTATAGATTATATGTATACATATTGATATAGATATATCCATGTGTGCATATATATGTCTATAGAGTTGTAAAAAACTATCCACATACACTATACCTGGTGGATAATTTAAGGGATCTTTTTCTCAGATAATTTTGCCTATACATAGGCAATTTTTGTCCTACCAGAAAACCTAATGCCAAAGATGAGGCCTCTCTGAGTCACTCTTGGGACAGAACTAGAACAAGAAGCCTGGCCCTTCAGACACTTTCACCATAATGTGCTCCCTCCTTCTCACACACTTACCTCGCTAATATAGAGTTTGTTCTACTCTATGTGCAGGTATTGATGGGCAGGCATCTATTATGACATTTATTCAGTGGTGCCCACACAAAACTTACAAATCTAGTTTCAAACAAGGCCACCCTTTCTTGTGCCCTAGAAGTTAGGTCTCCTCAGAGAGCTAAAATGACTAGCAGGCCATTTGGACACCCAGAGCAGTGTATATACTCATGGTATATAGTCCAACAGCCTTACTTGAAAGTCTGTTGGCGTTGCTTCTCTGCAGAGAATGGCAGAAGATCCAAGCAAGAAAAGGCTGACGTTCCAAGGGGAGAGGACTGCCTGGATTACCGCTGTGACTCTCAAAGACCTTCTGGAGCTGAAAGCTAACTACCCCAAAGCCCCCCTTGTCATGGGGAACACTACAGTGGGTGGGTGGTTTTAAAGTATGTTCTTTAGGGAACCCAAACACCCATGTCTCTTTTTAAACTTCATAAATGCAATCCATTTTTATTAACGGAGACCTCTGATCTTTAGAATGCTTTGTTGTTTTCTTTTGCAAATGTCATTTGTGTCACAATTTTCACTCTGGATTATCAGAAAGCAGCATCTATCAGCACTCATTGACTTCCTTTTCTTATTGCTTTAAATGCTTTTCTCCTTAAGGACCCACCACTATATTTGGGGATGAATTCCATCCGGTTTTCATATCTCCACTTGGGCTTCCAGAGCTCTATTTTGTGGACAGCACAGATAATGGTACGCACCTTCTTTTTCAAATAAGATGTAACGATTGGCTGTTGGCGGGTTGATCATTACATGCACTGGGCTAGTTTGAGCACTTCATAGAATATCTGATGTCATGTATTCATTCAAAAATATTTATTGAGCATCTACTATGTGTTTTCTGTGAACTTTTTCAACTAACCCACCCCACTCAGCGGTGTCACTGAGTACCTCATTGTCATAGGAGCCATAATGGTGGGAAGATGCAATGTAGTTCAGCCAGGTACGAGAAGACTGACTGAGTAAGAAGACTTAAGACATTGGCTGGCCAGTAGGAAAGGGCCTTGCTAGACATTACTTTCTGATTCACAAAGTTGTTGAAGGCTCATCTACACACACACACACACACACACACACAAAATCTAGGTTACAAAATTTGAAAGTTTAACTGTGAACAACCTTATTTATTTTACAACCTTTTCACCATGTACCATGTGCCTTCATAGCTCTTGTTTCTTTTGATCCTCATGACAACCGTGGGAGGTATACAGAGCAGGTAGCCTTGTATCTCCATTCTCCTAAAGACAATATAGAGTCAAAGGGATCAAGTAACTTCCCGACTTCACACAGTTAACACTTGGTTAAGTCAGGACTAGATCCTGTGTTTTCTTCCTCTTTGCCAAGTACTCCTACATAATGCACCAAATAAGGCTGTCTGGGAAATATACCCCACCATCCACTACTAAAACTCAGCATTTGAATGGATAACAGGTTATAGGAGCTAAAAATGCTACATAAAATAGGGTTCTCCCCAATGAGTGAGCAGCAATCAAATGGAAAATTGTCTGCTTCCCCTCTGACCTGCTCATTTTAAGTCAGTCTACCCATTAATTTCTCACCTGTTGAAAATTCCGTATCAAAGGCCTCATAGGAGGAGATGGAGCAGAGGGAAGCCAGGCTGGTACAGGAGAGGGCTGGAAGGAAAATGTGAAAGTACTTGGTGAGGGGTTAGGGGGCTGCAAGCCAGGAGTTGGGAAGGTAGAGCCTGTAGAATTGAAACTAATGTTTTTCAACCTTTTTATTGTTGCCTCTCTAAAGGGCAAGAGAAATTCTTTTTCTAATCATCCCTCCATGAAATTTTAAAACCACAGATAGACAATATGTCTCTCTATGTACAGTATGCATACCAGAGCTTTATACATAAAAAGAAAAAGATTTTTTCACCTCCTTGGGGGCAGTATGCCCCCCTTAAGAATCCATAAACTAGATGACATCACTACTCAAAGTATTCCCTGTACGCATACCTGCAGTGAGACTGACCCAAGGTACAGGACGGTGTGGGTGTCTCTCCTTGTTCTGATAAGGAAACAATAGGAAAAAATGGCTTGGAAGAAAGGCAAATGGGCAGTGCAAATCTGCAGGTCAGTTCCCACTTAGGCTTACTAATCTTTTAAAACTTATAAAATCTTCGCTAAAATTTCGATATTTGATCAATATATTCAGGGAAAACACTAAATTGGAAATAAACTAATAAATTTCAGATATCTGTGATAATAAATATATGGCACATTTGATTATACATGACTGAGAAAAAGAATTTGGTACCTAATGTTTGGGGATAATGCAAATTGCCAGAAATTATCTTTGGTTTTTGCCATTCTAAGTTAATGTGAAAAGGGAAGATATATTTGAAAAATTGTTTCCATGCAGCTCATGTGTCGTTCTACAGTTCACTTTAAGGTTTCATTCCAGTATCTTATTTTCAGGGGTGACAATAGGTGCAGGCTACACCCTCGCCCAGTTGAATGATGCCTTGCATTTTATTGTTTCGGAGCAACCGAAGGAGAAGACTAAGACCTACTGTGCCCTCCTGAAGCATCTGAGGACACTTGCCGGAGCCCAAATTAGAAATATGGCGGTACGTGCTCTAGTGTTATATGAAACGAGCCATAGTTATAGACAGTCATACAGTTCTGTTCAGTCAAACACGCCTCTGAAGATGAAACCCGAAAGTCAGTGTTGAATAAATCTCTACAACATCTGGGGGGGTGTGAGTGTGCCCAAAATGAGAGGTGTCACGTCGTGTGGATGTGTGTGCCCAGAGTGAGAGGCAGGATATTATATAACAAGATTATGGTCCTGGAATCTGAAGGTGCCCAGATTCTAATCTCAGCCTGTGACCTATGAGTGGTATGACCCTGGAGAAGCCACTTGACCTCTTTAAGCCACTGTTTCTTCATTTTAAAAATTAAGGTTCAACCAAATGGACTGTCTCTAAGATCCTGTCCAGTTCTAACAGTCTGTGAAATATGTCTTATCCAAGGCTTAGTAAATAAGAGCCTACATTTCCGAAATACTATTTTATAGATGGTTCTCCTCTTAGGCCCTTGCAGTCAAGTCAGTTTGTGAACATGTGTATCCCAAATGACAAATTGTGGATGTCCCCCAGTTATCTAGCTTATTGAGGTTTCCTTATTGTTTAAGATTTAAGAGAAGTTGGTTTGAACAAACGCCCATTCCACACGGGGTAGTTCAGTGGGATTCAGGGGGGAGGGGCATATTTTTCCTAATTGTCTCTGGCCTTATTTCTTTTGATTCTCAAAAATCCACCATATGTTTTCACCTTTGGCATCTTCTACCCCTTTTTCTGGACCGTTTTCCTCTCATCATCTTGCCTTTTTAGCCCCCTTCGAAAGTCCTCATTATTGACGATTTGGACAAGAGAGAATTCTATTATACAGCCAAGCAAACATTTTTAAAATGAGTGTCACATATCTGGTCCTTTAGAGTTTATTCACGCTCTAGCTGTCACCTTCCCCTGTGTTATTGAACACTCACTCTAGAGTCAGTTCTCAAGGAGATTTGTCTCCTTGTTACAAGTAGGAAATATTTTCTTAAGCAATGAGTTTGAACTGGAGTCCGGGATGGGAACCTCGCCCCATATGTTGTCTGAATCTATTTAGCTGCCCCAAAGCTCTGCCAGATCTTTCTATGAAGCAAAGAAGAGAATTCAAAGTTTACACAAGATGCCTGTATACTAATTGCTTATTTGTTAAATAACTAAGTGTAGATGAAAAGAAATGTCATCTTTATTTATTTAGACTCTAGGAGGACATGTGGTGAGCCGGCCAAATTTTTCTGACCTAAATCCAATTTTAGCAGCAGGAAACGCTATCATCAATCTGATATCTAAAGGTAAGAGACCAACTCTGAAGCATTTTTTTTTACAATTATCATATGGTTTCCTTCCATAAACCATGAACTAGGAACACAAGTATATCTAACTTAGACTTACCAAATATATATAGGCGAGATCTACATTCCCTGAAACATAAGAATGAAACTGAGATCAATTATCCTGATCTTGTAGATCAGATAAGTTTCTGCACCAGACAATTTTTCTTAACTATCTGGTCACATTCATCCACAGTCCAAAAGCAGTTATCAAAAAAGTGTATGAGGTGTATGCCTGTGGTTTTAGAGCTTTATGCATTTTTTAATTTCAGAGTTTCATAAAGGTGGAATTTTTCTTATAGGACTTTTTAAAAAGTTTGTGGGACGTATTCCTCATTACTTCTCTCTTTATTCAAAAACAGCTTGGTCCTTGCCAAGGGAAAATGATTTAAACTTGATGAAATAAAAACAATGCATATTATTCATAGAGCTGTTGTTGTAAGATCTCTTTCTTTGATTAAAATCACATTTTAAAAATATAGTGGATCAAATGAGAGAACAAGGCAAACTGCTTAAAGAAAAATAGCTATAATCAAGCATCCCACCTCTGCCACTAGTCTCACCTTTAGCACTTTGGACAGGTCTCTTAACCTCTCTGGACCTCTGGGCTTCAGTTTTCCCATTTGTGAAATACATTCTACCCATTTCCCACTTGTGAAAATTGGATTGTTTCCAAATAGCTTTAAAGTTCTTCAAAGCCAACATTTGTGAGTGACATATAATGAGCTCTAAAACCAGAAAAGACTTTTTAGCTTATCTGGTCCAACACTTTCATTCTGCAGATGAGGAGCCAGAAGCCCCAAAGGGTCTATGACTTGCCTAAGGTGACACAGCTTCAAACCTGGAACTAGAACCCACATCTTCTGGCTCCCAGCCTTCACTCTCTCTCTTTTCACCAGATACATCACATCTGTCCCTTTCTGGAGCTTCTCCAATTTGATAAGTTTATTCTAATCAAGGTCATTTCTCTAATAGAAGGAGAACGGCAGATTCCTTTAGATGGCCATTTCCTCGAGAGATCACCTGAAGCCAACCTTAAATCGGAAGAGATTGTGTCATCTGTTTATATTCCCCACTCCACTCAGGTAAGGGCTCCCTGACCGGCTGCTCGCCCCAGGGGGCCCCTGCTCGCCCTGTACGTTGCCCAGGAGCCGCAGACAGGCTTCCGGGGATGGTGCTGTCTCCTTTCCCAGCCAACAGCTGCAGGGAGACCATTGGGACCGCTCTCGGGAAGGGGCAGGGTCTCAGGTGACCATTTAATTTGCTTTCATATCAGGTCCACATTGGACTTCCGTGGACCTTAGGCACTTTTCTCCATAAAAAATAAAACAAAATCAGTGATCATGTTATTATGAAGATGAATATAATCCAGTCTTATATTCATTGTTATTATATCCATTTTTTCTTCTGTTTTTAAAAGACATTAAAAGAAAAATGTTTCTGTGGGCCTTATCTCTCTGTAAAAGGAGAGCCTTTTGTGTGAGAAGCTGAATTTATGGTTTCAGGTAAATATGCATCTTAGCCAAGATTGAGGCAAACTATCACCAATATCGTCTACAATAAGTTCCTGGCAAACTGAAAGTTCATTATTATATAACATTTCCAAGTCAACCAACCTTTATTAACCAAATACTTTAAATTAACTTGTTTGTTTATTAACTACCTGCCATTCTGTAAGCCAGGCATAGGGCTAAATCCAGAAGACACTACACCGATTTATAAAACAGTGTCCTGTCTTCCAAGGTCTCTAAGTCTAAGAGGAAGGGCTTGAAATAGGAAACACCCAATCACCTTAGACAGGAAAAAGTGGACAAATAGCTGGAGTGGTTCCTATGATGAGGAAAACCCTCCCCTAGTGTTGTTCAAAGGGGAAGGAAACCAGTTGCTAACAAGCACAGGTCAGTGGTGAAGGGGGTGGACATTCCAGGACGGGGAACAGCATCAGGATGGGGGTTGGGGCGAATGGCAGCTTGGAGGCCAGGCGGCAGGACAGGGTGGCTGGAGGAGCCCCATGAAATGCGGCTTCACATCCACTGCTTCATCGAGGAGTTCGTACATGTTCTAGCCGCCAACCACCTCTGAAGACTTTAAAACAAGGTAAAATCTTAATGAAAGTGGTATTTTAAGAATATTGATCCACTGGAAAGGTAGGGGAAAAACCGGTTGGAGAACAGACTGAAGGTTGAATGAATAGTCAGGAGGCTAATGCAATAATTCAGGCTGGAGAAGGTAATGAGGGTGGTGCAGCAGGAATGGAGAGGGAAAGCCCACCAATCGGTACAGTAGACTATATGTGATGTGTGTCTCAAACACTTCTTTATCACCTTCGCTTTCTATATCAAAAATGTTTTATCCTAAAAATAAATAAATAAATGGTTTATCCTTGGCAGGGTCCTTAGTAGTGCTAACTCCTTCCCCACCCCCACCAGGATACTGACCACGAAAAGAGGTTTTCTCCCATTTTTGCCACTCTAATATTTAACACTAATAATGAGATTTAATGTAATATGACATGTTTAAACCTGGAAAACACTTTGGAAACCATTTGGTTTTCAAACTTTTCAAACCAGTGGTTTTCAAGCTTTTTCTTTTTAACAGAACTCTTTATTCAAATGAAATTTACATAGGACAGCAAACTAGTTAAAAGTGAAAGTTTGATAGTTTGCTCTGAGAGACACCCCACCTCCTGATCTTCCCCTCATTCCCTGAGGCACCATCTGATCAAACCCAACTTTCTCATTTTAAAGAAAATTAAGGCCCAAACTGTTTAAGTCATTTGCCTGAAGCCCAGTGTGGTGATTTGGAGTTGAAGTAAATAAGCATAGACTCTGAAGTCAGACTGCTTGAATTTGAGCCCCAGCTCTGCCACTTACTGTGCAACCTTGTGTAAGTTACTTAACCTCTCAGTTTCCTCAACAGTAAATTGGAAATGAGTAGAATTGCTGTGAGGATTAAATATATATACATACATACACACACACATATATATATGTAAAACACATAGGCCAGTGCTCACAGACTGTCAACACTAGTTAATAACAGTGAGAATTCAAGTCCACTCATGGATCCTTTTCATTTTTAACAATCATCTAAGTTGAGTCTGTTTGTCAAACAGTAAAGAAAAGCACTAGACTTTCTGAATGTTTTTCTATTGCCAGTGGCACTTTGTGTCAGGACTGCGGCTGGCCCAACGTCAAGAGAATTCCTATGCCATTGTCAATGCTGGGATGAGTGTGAAGTTTGAAGATGGCACAGATACAATCAAGGAATTTAAAATGTTCTATGGAAGTGTTGGCCCCACTGTGGTCTCTGCAGACCAGACTTGCAAGCAGCTCATTGGGAGGTAGGTCATAGCACATCCAGAACATAAAACTCAGGCCTTTCTATTTTAATATTTTAATGAAAATAGCACTTAGAGAATTTTTTCTGATTATAAAATATACCTATATATTCATTTAAAAAATTTAAGTGCTACAAAAAAGTGTAAAGAAAATAAAAGTCATCCCCAACCAACATTACTTCAAGGTGCAATGATTCTTTTATTGTAGTTTCTGTAATAAGATTAGTGCACAAATCAATATAAGTAGATATAACCTTCAAATTTTCACTTTTAATTAACCTGCAAAGTAAGTAACATTTTCAATACTGTGTCCTAAGATACCTGAAAATGTTTTCTTAAACCACATAAAGAGGAGGAAATATTCCAAAAGGTTAAATAGCCTTCCTCTTGTCACTCTCATTACTTCTAGCATTTGGAGAGTAAATTTTTAAAATTCTCCCAACTAGTATTTTTACAATAATTTTTGTCCAGCCATCATATTTATTGTCTACAATCAGAACTTAATACAAGTTTTTTCTCAGTTACCAGAAAGAACTTGATGCCTCCAAAGCATTTATATAGAAACTTTCATTTGTGAAAATTTTACAACTATAATCAATAATTTGGTCATTTACCAGTTTTTGCCTGTGTGCATGCCAGGCATGGTCTAGTTGCTGGAGATACAGCAGTGAGCAAACCGAAGTCCCAGATCTTGAGAATCTTGATTTTAGTACTTTTATTACCCAAGCTATTTGAGGTAAATCAACATTTCCAAGTTATGAAGTTAAAAAATAATAAAAACAAACAATCCAATTAAAAAATCAGCAGATGATCTGAATACATTTTTCCAGAGAAAACATACAGATGGCCAACAGGTACATGAAAAGGTGTTCAACATCACTAATCATCAGGGAAATGCAAATCAAAACCACAATGAGATATCACCTCACAGCTGTTAGAATGGCCATCATCAAAAAGACTAGACAGGCTGGGGAGGCTGTGTAGAAAAGGTAACCTTTATGAACTGTCGGCAAAAATGTAAATTGGTGGAGCCACTATGGAAAACAGTATAGAGGTTCCTCAAAAAATTAAAAATAGAACTACCATATGATCTAGCTATTTCATTTCTAGCTACTTATCCAAAGAAAATAAAAATACTACTCAAGCTTGGCCCAGGCGTGGTTCAGCGGTTAAGCATCGACCTAGGATCCAGGAGGTCTGGGTTCAATTCCCGGTCAGGGCACATGCCCCGGTTGTGGGCTCGATCCCCAGTTGGGGACTTGCAGGAGGCAGCCGATCAATGACTCTCATCATTGATGTTTCTGTCTCTATCTCCCTCTCCCTTCTTCTCTCTGAAATCAATAAAGATATATTTTAAAACAAAACACACAAAAAACCCACTACTCAAAACTATACATGTACCCATGTACCTTGTATCATTATTTAGAATAGCCAAGATATGGAAGCAACTTAAGTGTCCATTGATGGATGACTGGATAAAGACAGTGTGATATAAAGATACAATGGAATATTATTCAGCCATGAAAAAGAAGGAAATCTTGCCATTTGCAACAACATAGCTTGACCTTGAGGGAATTATACTAAGTGAAATAAGTCAGACAGAGAAGGACAAATATCATACAACCTCACTCATGTGTGAAGTACAAAACAAAACAAAAACCAAGCTCATGGATACGGAGAACAGACTGGTGGTTGCAGCCGGGGGAGGGGGAGATAAGATGGGCGAAGGGGTTAAAAAGTACAAATTTCCAGCTATAAAATTAATAATTCACACCCTTGCCGGGTGGCTCAGTTGGTTGGCGCTTCAGCCCCTACACCAAAAGGCTGTGGGCTCGATTCCCAGGCAGGGCGCACCCCTAGGCTGTGGGTTCAGTCCCCAGTCAGAGGGCGTACAGGAGGCAACAGATCTTTGTTTCGCTCTCCCTCCGCGCCCCCTCCCTAAAATCAATAAGCATATCCTTGGGTAATAAAAAAGTTCTCATCACAAGAAGAAGATACTGTACTACGTGTGGCGATGGGTGTTAACTAGACTTACTGAGGTGGTCACTTCACAACATAGAATTCAAATATCGAATCATTATGTTGTATACCTGAAATTAATACAATGTTATAGGTTAATTATATCTCAGTTAAAAAGAAAAATAATAAAATGCTTTCAAGTAATAATAAAGGAAGACTTGGTAAGGAAAATTTGGGACCCACTGCATCAGATTCTGAAGAAAGCCAGTGACATAGGTGAGGGTATTTTGCATTGACTTCAAAGATGGATACAGCTCGCTCTCCATCTCCCCTTGTTCGGCCAGCTTAGCCGCTCTCTTTCTGCTCTTTCCTGCTAGGCATTGGGATGACCAGATGCTGAGCGACGCGTGCCAGTTGGTGCTCAGTGAGATTTACATTCCGCCGGGCGCTGAGGGGGGCATGGTCGAATACAGGCGAACCCTCATCATCAGCTTACTCTTCAAATTCTACCTCAAAGTGAGGCGAGGGCTGAATAGGATGGTAAGTGACTTCTCTGAGGCCCTGGGTGAGCGGATCTGCACCTGAAGGCCTT